AAAAAAAAAAAGAAGAAGAAGAAAGAGTGAATTGGGGAGGAGGAGTGGGCAGGAAGAAAAGTGCAACAATGAATGAATGGAAATCCAAAGTCTCTGTAAACGTTCATTAAAATTAAAAAAGAAAATCATATATTTCAATTGAGAGTGAGGAGTAAAAGATACAGCTGAGGAATTTACCTTGAGCTCCCAGTGATTAAATTTCCAACCTGGTGAATAGTTCTCTCGTAAATCAACTTTAACACGAATATTAACACTGAGTAACCGCTTCTGATAATCACTGCATTTGGCAATCAAGGCTTCTTTGTCTTCCTCAGAAAGAGCATTTGTAATGCCACAAGGAATAATCACCACCTAGAACCCAGAAGAATGTCTCAAATTTATACAAAGAATCAGCATACAGAAGCAATGAAGCCAATATTACAGGCTTAGTTAAAAACCTACTCAACATCAACCTGTTTATGTCTCAAAGTGACACTACAGGAGAGAGTAAAACTGTCCTATAGAGTTTCCAAGGCCACAAATCTTCATAGGAGCAGACTGTCTCTCTTTTTCCCTCAGAGGCTGGTTGGTGAACACTGACCTCTGGTAAGCTTCCCAATTTCAGCATACCTTAAAAACCTACTTAAAACTATATTGCTTTAGGGGAGCTCTAGTGGCCTAGTGGTAAGGAGCTGCAACTACAATCCCAGAGGCGCACAGTTCGAATCCACCAGATGCTCTGCCGGGGAAGGAGGGACAATCTCCTCCTGTACCAGTCAGATCTGATTCGACGGTACACTCACACAAAAATAAAATAAAAATTAAAAAGAAAAAAAAAACTATATTGCTGTGGAGTCAGAACCAACTCATCTGATCCTCCACTTGATTTCCCATACTGCAAGTTGCATGGAAGATTGCCCATCCAAAAGAGTTCCTGGTAGATCTGAACTGCCAGAGAGGTATGTTGGCAGCACAAGTCCTTAGGAACGAGCACTTCCATGAAAAACTACCTCAACTCAAATTTAACTCAGAGCTATTAAGTTGAACTTTCAGCAGTTTTTTGGAGGCTATAATTGCAAAGGAGGAGATGGATCATCT